GGGATATCTGTACTAAGCACAGTCCCAGGCACAGATCATGTTCCACTCCAGAAGGGGTCTTGTTAAACAAACCAGGGTGTGAGATTAAAAAGAATCTCAGTCTTAGAGTGCTCAGAAGACAAAAATCACATCTGCAAATACATCAAGAGAATCCAATCAGTGAGCATGCCCACATGTAGATCATTTACCTGGTGAGCTGAGCTGTCGTCTTCATCTTGTGTCTTTGAAGACAAGAAAGTGTTGGAAAACAGCTCAAGTTGGAAGGGAGGGTTCCGGCAATGCCAACTGTAAATACTACAGTGACGCACACAGGTGTGTGTTCAGAACAGAAGCTATTTGTCAAAGTTTAGACTGTGTTATGTGTTGGTCTCGAAGAGAATTCCATGTCAAGTATGGTTTGCAATCATTACTGTGACTGAAACTTGTAGCATAATGGTCAAAGATTTGTCCCTCTGTTGAACTGTTTCCCCAGTTTGTACCAAGTTGCACTAAGCGGTTRCCATTTTGTACTATGTGGTTAGTAAATCATTAATACTTTGCACCTGTGCACTTAAACAGTTGCATTTATTACTCATATACTTACCATATGCATACAACCCTGAATGCTCTCGAGTGCAGAGGCATCACCTTCATAACCACGCTTACGTTCAAAWACTGCATATTTCATTGTCAATATTATGAAACAAAATACTGTTTGCACAATTAATTTTGTTTCACTTTTCATTTATCTGCAACCAAGCCTTACCACACCAACAATGACAATAAAAGTGATCCAAATCCTATTTTAAATGTAAAAGTGTCTTTTAATAGACAAAATCATCGATAGTGTCGTTGCCAAGGTGGGTGCGAAACAGTGTTTTTGAAGTGGTCTGAGGCAGGTACAGTGTGGASGGTGGTGGGTAGGAAAAACATGACCTGGAGCCAAGTTAAGGACTTTTCAASTTGCTCAGAAATATCCATATGTTGTCTTGTAAATGCCTAAAGCAGGGCTATTCAACTACATTTCTCCGGAGGCCACAGTTACTGCAGGCCAACAGCACAGGGGTCGAGCATCCAACAATTGAAGTCATTACGTAAGTAAACCAAGTATAACAAAGATCTGTTATCTATGAAATAATTTGTTTTGCTGCATTTAACCATGTATACAACATACAGAACTCTATAATAAAAGTAGTGATAATGAAACAATATCAAAAACACAAATATTTTGACATCTCTGACTTCCCAAATTTTTAAACCAATTTTATTTTCACTTTCATAATTTTATCTTCAACTCCTTGTAGTTTTAACTGTCTTGGATGTTCATAGAAATGGTTTTTACCATCGTCTAGCCAATATTCAGATGTTTGTGTAGAAATCAAACATGTTTGTGTCTAACTAAACAAACCTAGGRTAATTAAAGTAGAAAACCAGGGGTTTGGGTTTAAGAGATAAATGAACAAATGGGTGGGGCGAACTTTGGTCACTTAGAGCCACATTCGGCCCGCGGGCCACCAGTTGAACAGCCTTGGCCTAAAGTATTAAATTACACTCGCTGTGAAACCAGTAGAAATTGTCTGGTGAGCTCTAATTGACAGTAAAATGTGAAACACTTGGGGTCAGATTTATAAAGGATTGCGTAGAAACCATACTAAAAGTAAACATACGGCCAAAATTCAGTTTTATAAAACCATGCGTACGCATGTTTCTGCGCACCTTTCATTTATAAATCACAGCCACACGTCAGAGTTTGCGCTCAAGGTCCCGCCTCAGGTTCTACCCTCTACACGCCCACACTCAACCATAAACAGTCAATGCAAAGTACCTCATGAATGTTAAGATATATTTAAATCAGTCAGCTGATCAATGTCAAAAAAAGTGATTGGTTCAGACTTGCGCTCTGTTGTGCTTCTGGAGGATGACAGGTGCTGACAACTGCTCACGTGAACAGAATGTCTGTAATTGACAGATWTTCTCTGATTTTGCAGGTTTACAGATGTTTAGAGTAATCTAATGATTTTTATCAAAAACTTAACTTCCCTGCTGAGCCTGCAGGACGATAAAAAACAAAATTAAATAAGTCAGATAAACTTAGAAATAATTTCACCACTCGTCTCCCTCCTCCCCCTCCTCTGTAATCTGCACCCCCCCCCCCCCCGCGCGCGTGACAGATACGGACTTTAAAAAGTAAAGTTTTATAACATCCATACTGGCGAGGGGGCGCGCCCTGCTCGTACCCAAAGCGTAACTTTTGCTGTCGTGCTGTTGAAATGTCTCTTGTCAGGGAGGGCTCTGTGGGTCAGGGTCGTGAGGAGGAGGAAAGAAATTAATGAGTTGCTTGAACTTTTATTTAAGATTTAAGTTTTTTTTATTTCAAAGGTCCTCATGGCTCAGCAGCAGAAGCATAAATATTACTGTTAAGAAAGCTGATGATAAAGYTGAATAAAAATCTAAGTCTGATTCTGAAGGTAAATTAAATATCTGACAGTGATCATTACACAGTGTGGCTCTAATTCCTCACTTCACCATCTGTGTCGCAGTTTCCCGTCTCCAAAATTAGCGTACRCATGGGTCAGAGCTGGCGTGAGGCACCGCACATTTTCACATCAAGTTTGGATTTTATAAATCACAACCTTGKCGTGAAAAGTGGCGTACGCAAGTTTCTGGGCTCATATTGTGCGTACGCAAGTTTTATAAATCCGATCCCAGGTCTGAATCACTGACTTTTTTCATATCAGTTCATGCCACCCACAAATCTGAAWCAAGACATCCTGATGATTTTTATTTAATCAAGATCTGCATAAGTCCAAGACTTCTAAACTATTACATCAGTATTTATAATCCACCTTGGAAAATACACATACAGTATTAACTAAACTGTGGTCCCTATTTTGTGTTTCTGGAAATCACACARTTGTAACAAATGTAGCAAAACAACACTGCTGTGACTTACTGTTATTGGTCTAATTTACATTTTTTAGCACAACACTAAACTAACATTGCCTTGATATAATCTCACTATTTGAGTTTTAATTGTACTAAAATGCTAAAAAAAGAACAACTAGCTTTGTTTTACAGCAATGAAACCCAATCAAAAGTCACACCTAACCAATCATTTTGAGTGGGTAAGTGCTTCTATACTGGACACAGTTTTCACGGTAATCAACTGAAAAACTGATTTTGTTTTAATTCACAGAAAGTAGTCACAAACAAATGGTCCAATGCGTTAGCTTTTAATTAAATCTCCTAAAGAGCACAGCAGCCTCCCTATGAGAAAATGATTGCACCTCTTTTAATAGTAGAATTGCAAGTTGCCCTATGAGTGCACATTGTATTGATGTTCTTAAAGGTAGTGAGAGAGTTATGAATACAGCTGCTGGGTTTTGTGCATTATAGAATTTGTCGACAAAAAAGCCTTTAGCATTTTAAAACAAAGCTTCAGCCTTCATTTAATTAAACAAAAGCCTGTGATTAGACTTACCCTACGATGTTAGATAATCAGTGGAGTACTGGAATGGTTCCATTTGTTAACGATGCACAGAAAATGGATTAAAAACTTCAAATGTGAACAAATCATGTTTTAAAACTTGGAAGGAAATGTATGCACTTTATAATTCTTTGTACTGGTCTCTGTTTCCTTTCAATGCAAATGCATCTCAGAGCACTTACATAATACCCAGCATGTTTATTGAATTCTTGCCTAAAGCCATGCATTAGGCCGCACATTACACCTGTTATATGTGTAGAAAGGACCCTAATTCAATTTGGTTAGTATTTGGTTCTCTTGGTTGAGCATCATAAATCCATAGTAGGTGGAATGAAACCCAAGAGTCACTCCCTTGCTGATATGCATTCCTTCAGCATGGCAACATTTGAAAAGCCCAATCAAATTAGAGCTAAATCAAACCACCTTTCATTTAGCTTTGGACTCTGTGGAATCCATTTAAAAGCTTTTGACACTCCCCAGTCTGCTTCTTTAAAACTGATGAAGATGAGGAAAAGTATATTCATCTGTACTGAAATGACTTGTATGCTCATACTGGCATACAGCTGAACTAGAMTGACCTGAGCAGACCTGTTTCATTAT